ACACATGCTTCAAGGTCTAGGAATGTATAGTGTTATACAAATATTGTTATTTATGGTGATGATAAGAACGTGAGCTGCGTTTGGAACAAAGGTCTGGGAGCATCTACTTGACATCAATTGAAAGAGACAGGTATTAACCTGTATGTTTGAAATACAGCCTGTTGTTATTGCTCTCAGATAAACAGAATTACCTCCTCTTAAAATCAAAGGTAATCTGTTTTACTTCAGTGAGATGTGGTGATGTCCACAGAGAACAAATCATTTTTGGCAAGTGGAGGAGGGATTTTTCTTGGCAAGTTGGGAGAAGCATCAAAGGAAGAGAAAAGGGATGCAACACAACTGGTTTTAATCACACATAACAGTCAAGTTCCTCTGGACAGGCCTACTGTCTGATATGCCATTGTAAACGCCCTGGGGAGCCTGGAGTAAGAGAATGGAAAAAACAGGTGAATGGCATAAAGGTACTCGGGACACTCAGTGGAATAATTGGCAAAGCTTTTGTCAGTTGGCATTATGCAGTGATATATTGCTCCCATTAATGTAGTGCCTTGGTACCATGACTTCGATTTTTAATGGGTGTTTGGTTATCCAAGTCCATGTCTTTTTCTGGTTTTGATAGTCACAGATCCTCAGATCACACTGCACTTCTGTTTGACATTAACAATGAAGATGCTGAATTGGTTATAACAAGGATGCACTTTCATTCTCAATGTACAACCACCAGGGAGAAGGGAGACTCATATTTCAAGCCGGTTCAGCTCTCAGGTGCTCTGAATTGCTCTGGAGGTGCCAGTTTATTCTCCTTGCTGTCAAAGATCCTAAGGTGGCTGCTCCCTAGACCAGGCACACAGGAGGCTGCCTGAATGGGTGGGATACATCTGGAGAAAAAGAGCTTAGGCAAATAATTCTTGACAGTACTGTTCCTCTTGAAATGGCTGTTTCCTCTAGAAACTGCTGACTTGTTTCACTATATTTGGGGGCAGAGAATGTACTCATTTTATTAGCGTATTCTCTAGGAAACAAATGTCATACTTCAACTACTGCAATACCATATTACCATCTTCCATAAAATGTCAGTTTAGGCTAGATTATATAAACATCCAAACAAGAAAGTCAAACGAAAATTATTTGATATGATAACTTTGGTATTTCTGAAACAAAATATTTTAGAATACCCATTCAGCAATATGTTTCAAAATGATGGCTTCCAGTCAGGAATGAAAGGGCATTGGTAACATCTGACTTGCTTTTGGAACTTGAATAGCATGAACTTTGATGGAGCTGCACAGTTAGCATCACTGTTCAGCCTGCTGTAACAATCGCTTTCCTACATTTCATTTGGGTTGCAGTAGCATTTGGGAGCTACTGTCAGGACTTGAGGATCTCTTTTGCAAGGAATCTCATATTCATATAATGAAGATAATACCTGGCCTTCTGTCAAGCAGAATAGATGCACTGGAGCTAACAGGGAAACCAAGCATTACCAAGAGCTTTGGTAGCAGAAGCAGGCTTTTCTGCACTTTGGGTAAGCATTTGCTTGAGTTGCCTGGGAGGAACTTCTGATTGAAGGAGTAATTGGGTATTTTACTAATTACCTGTCAGTGGTGAATGAGGACTTGAGCTTGAAGGACCCTAAGTGTTCTGTGAACCTTCCCTCAGCCAGGGTCTCAATCTTGGATTAAATTTCTGGTACGTTGAGATTGGGAATGTCTTAAATGTGCACTGAACAAATGGGACTCAAACTCCCACTGCAACCTGATCAGCTAAAGTCTTCTTTAAGTGCATAGTTTAAATAAATAACCTGGAAGTTGACGCAGAGCAACTGAGTAGATTATCCAGTCTTTGAACACAAAAGATCAACTGATACATACATGATTTCTAAGCAAGATCCTCTGCCTGAAATCTGTGATTCATTATTATAACTATTACTATTACTATTACTATTACTATTACTATTACTGTTATTATTTACTATGGTAAAGTCCAGAAAGCCCTGATCTTTTAAGCCAAGAATAGCCCTTACCCTAATTCATGAACATTTATGGGTGGCCTACACTGGTTGACTGGGAGTTCTTGAATTAAAAATGTATCTATCTTGGAAAAGCAAGAAACAAAATATTATTCAGTCTGGAGCAGTCTCATGCATGTAAGCCCTGGAGAGCTTGTGTGTCTTTACTTTTGAGGTTCATTATGTCACCAGAAAAGCTTTAATATTTTACTGTGGAAGCAACGTAGCCATGAAACATTAATTTCCAGGAATGTGGGAACCATGAAATATGCATTTTTCTAGTAAATTGAGATTTTATTTGTCTCTGTTCTCACATAGCTAAGGGAACCAAATTTCATTACATGTTTACATATATGTATTCTGGAAATTCATAAAGGAAAGATGTACAAAACAGAGGAAGACCATTTTTGCCTTGAAAATTGTATTTCATTGATAACAGTACCAGTCATTTACATTCTACATTTCATCCTAAACCCCTTTACATTCTATATCCATCTTGGAACCATATCTCTCATTACTGAATAGCACCCACACTGCCCTGTGAGAGGTGGCAGCTGCTTAGATCTGTATAAAATTGTATACTTCCCTACTTCCACAATGCCATTCTCTCACCATTGTAGTGATCAACACCATTCAGTCATGCCTGGCACAGGCACGATTGTACTATGATCTCCAGCGACTCCCAGGTATTCTGTACCATGACAGATGACTCTGGCTGCAAGAAAAATGATGAAGGACAAATTAATTTTAATCCATGTAAAGGCCTTTTAAATATTCCTCTCTTATTGCTAACCAGTGTTACTAACTATAGGACTGATGCCTCTTTCATGTAAAACAAATGACAGGATTTCCTTCAGATATATGCACATACTCATATGCACGCAAAGACCACACCAGCTTTTAGCAGCCTTGGTAGAATGAAAGTATTGTAGTAGCTTATAGGGAATTTGAAGTACTTAGTTTTGGGGACAATTCCAGAATGTAAGTTTTCACCTAAGGTTTTTATCAATGTTATATACTAAATTTGCATCCATTACTAGTTGATTAGAATAGAAAAATTAGACAGTAAGTTCCAGAAGCATCTGTGTCATGGGAACTACAGGTTTCTAGGTTATATGACATGCCAGAATATTCACCAAAGCACCAGGGTTGTCTTCCTTAATGCTACAATTAGTGATGCCACATTAAGAGAACAATTACTGGATAAGATTTGATGGCAGGAAGCCCTCTGCCATAAGTTGGAAATTCTCAACATATGCAACCATACTGCTAGAGAAGATGAGTTATGCAATTAAAACCAAAACTGGAGATTTGTTATCGAAGGATGGCAGAGTGTTCTAGAATACATCTGAGAGGTTCCCTGATCTTGTTATCTTCAGGCTTCTATGTGAATTAATCTAACACAGATGACAATATTTAACACAGACAATTGTGCCTACAGTCATGTGGAGGATGCTTATAGAACCCCCTTCCATCAAACCATGAAGGTTTGTGATAATGTACCTCTTTAAAAAGGCTGGTTAGTTTTGTCAGAATTGCATTTCAAGGGAATAAAACACGATAAAGATTCTGACAGAGTCAGAAGAGTCCATTCTAATATTATTATCCAATTTCCAGAATTTTGAGCAAGCCATATTTAATTTGCTTTTTACTGCAATTAATGATATTTTAAGTGCAAATTATTTTAAAAGTCCAATTCAAGATAAACATCAGATTTTGTCTGAATGGAAAGGCCTGTGGTTGTGTGGTATTCCTTCAAAATTCTCCCTTCTTGTCCTCACTCAGAATGAAGCAGAATTTCAAATTCTGATTTTATTTGCAAAATGAACTTCTGCCCTAGCACAGCACTTTCTGTGCCTCCATGAGGAGGATGAGAAGCTTAATGTGTAATTTCTGTGAGCCATAAAGAGATAGTATTTGTGTTAGTATTTTCAAATCCAGGCTTCTAGAGCTGCTGTTTGAATATAAATCATAGATGGTTTTGGGTTACACTAACACCCTCTGCAGTTTAGTACAGTTGTTAATTAATACAATACTGTATTAGTTCTTACGGTCTTACTAGTAACGCCCCATGAAATCCCATTAGCTGCATATGGTGCCAGACTTGTTCTGAATATGGGAAAGCAAGAAATTTGCAGTGGTATGTATAATACAGAGAAGCTTTCAAGTGGTTTCCACTGTGAACATTTTGAAAAAATATTTTCCAGAATGTAATTTGTGGGGCAATCTTTTCACAAAATTTCAATGCAAACATGCATATATTTGTCATCTAAGTTTTTCCCCGGAGTGTGAAAACCGTTATGCACCACTATTGTTCTATGGCAGAAACATCAGGAAAACAAAGTAGTTCCTAAATGAAACTAAAATGGAAAATTAACCAGGTTAATGGAAAATTAACCAGGCCGTCTTATTGTCCAAACCAACAGAAATGCAAAAAACCAACCAAACAAAACTTCCCCAAAATGAATAACTGATGCCAACAAACGGATAAAACTTTCCTTATATTTTTTGTTTAAATAATTTAGAGATAGTAATGAAAGACAAAATTTGGGTTAGGTTTTCCAGAAGTATTTGAATTTCCTGCTTCAGTGATCTGATAGATCCCTCTTAAATTCCAAGAAGATTAAAATGCCATAGCAAAAATCAGGCTTATTCATTAACACCTCATACAGAACACTCCGAAAGGCATTAGCCACTATAGAGACTTCAGTCTTTATTATTTTCTATTAGTTTTGTCCAGTATTGACTTCTTGATGAAAGAGAGATGTGACAAGAAGCTCTTAGAAAGGCTTTTAAAAATGAAGAGAATGATGAAGGAGGCAGGATTTTAGAAGCAGACTATTTGCTGGAGTTGTAATAATTGTAATTCTCTCCTGATCCTCTAGGAGTTGCTGCCCTAGAGTGCGTGATAAGGAGGATTCTAGTAGATGCTTTTCTCCTTCCCAGTCCTGCAGTTCATCCATAGTCCAGTCTCTGCAGTCTCACTATGCAATCAGGAATGGCCAGGGCCTTTCTGCATGGCCAGCATCCAGACAGGGACACACTGCTCAGGAAATCCCTCCTGCCTCTCCTCTCGCAGGATGGTGAGTCCACTCATTTCAATGAGGCTGTGGAGGATGTTCAGGTCTCGGATCACACTACTATCCAGACAATCCAGGATACAGCCCTCCCTGGCTACATTGTCCTTGAGAATGATAACACCATTATCCTTCAAGCCATTCTGGCACCGGATGAGAAACTCCAGGAGATCTTTATCTGTCAGATATCCTACAGATGAAAAGATGGAAAATAGATCACTATTAACCATTCAAATTCCTAAGAATGATGCCTTGTTCTGAGTCTCCATACCCTATTTATTGCAAGAGAAATTCTAGTCCTGCCAGATTTAACTATGAAATCTTGGGAAAATCAGTGAGATCAACCATTACAAACTCAAATCAGCATTTAGGATCCTTATTAGTAGTAGCAACAGATGTGGACATTAGTCAATGGGAATAGTGGAGAAAATAGTGGGTGCTGAAGGGTTCTTTAATCTGGTGGTTAAAGTCATAATAAGAATCAGTGGCAGGAAGCTGGAGCCAAACAAATTCATATTGGAAAAAAGTGACAACTGTTTAACAGTGTAAGTAATTACCCATTGGAAACTACCAACAGAAGTGGTGTTTACCACTTCTTGAAGTCCTCAAATCAAGCGTGGTTGAATTTCTCAAGATATGTTTTAATTGAACACAAACTACTGGCTCAGTAAAGGAATGACTATAACCACTTGTGATACAGAGTAGATCCAACTAGATAATGTAACAACCCCTTCTGTCTTTTAATGCTACAAATCTCTGTAACTTTGTGTAACGTTATGTACCCATTAAAGGAGTTCTTGATCAAAGATCCCACCCGGAATGCAAGACCTTCCAAACAGCCAAATAAACTCTTTATATTACACCCTACTCTTGTGACTTCTGCATATACCATATACACTTAAAAATAATATGTTTTTCAGCATACTATTGAGATTGTGGTTTTTATCCTTCCTGCCCAAAGATCAATACTTCTGTTATGTTGAGAACAGGGCTCTGAGAAAAGCAAAATGAGAACTCTCACATGTGAAACATCTAAAATAAATTAACACGGACAGGTGGTCAGAAACTGAATGAAAAATTTTTTAAAACAAATAATTGTTTTCATTTTCTAGTCAAAATATTTAGTTCTCTTAATGGAAGATTTAAACTTTTATAAATGGAAGTTGTCATTTCAAAACCACATTTTGACATAGCATGTGAGCATGTGAGAAAGTTGGGGCTGTTCAGCCTGGAGAAGAGAAGACTGTGTGGAGACCTCATAACAGCCTTCCAGTATCTGAAGGATACTATAACTATAAGGATGTTGGGGAGGGACTCTTCGTTAGGGACTGTAGCGGTAGGACAAGGGGTAATGGCTTCAAACTTAAACAGGGGAAGTTTAGATTAGATATAAGGAAGAAGTTCTTCACAGTGAGGGTGGTGAGGCACTGGAATGGGTTACCCAAGGAAGTTGTGAATGCTCCAACCCTGGCGGTGTTCAAGGCCAGGTTGGACAGAGCCTTGGGCGACACAGTTTAGTGCGAGGTGTCCCTGCTCATGGCAGGGGGTTGGAACTAGATGATCTTAAGGTCCTTTCCAACCCTAACTATTCTATGTCAGGTTTTTTTAACCACCACCCCAAAAAAAAAGAAAAAGAAAAAATACCCAAAGCCTAAAGCTGAATACCTTTCAAGCTGAAGGAAAATAGTGATTTCTATATGAAATGTAAACTTACATTCTTATTTTTTCATAAAATAACAGCCTGGACTCATAAACTTATGCATACATGAGACAAATCAAGATTGCATCAGCAATATTCAATGAAGCTCTTGTACACCTAATTTGGAACTTAATGTTCTCTTAATTTAGCTTTTAGCCTACTTTCCTAAGAAAACAGGATCTTCATGGTGTTGCTCTCTACCCAGACAGTCCTGCCCTCGCTCCACCAAAAAGCATTGAGCTTGTTGGCATATTCCAGCTAAACTCAAGATAGAGGTAGAAGTTTAATTAATACTTAAGATCATTATGTATTTCACTGAAATTGATGGAGGAAGGAGATTCAGATCTGTGTCTATGCTAAAGAAAAGTCATATGCTCCCTTAGTTATCAGCCACATAGGTAATCAGCACAGCCACAGACAAGTCTTAGCTTATTCAGTCTCACGTTGACTTGGATTTGCTCAAAAGATGAGGCAGGAGCTACATTTACTGTAATGATTGGTTATTCAAGAAAAGCAAAAATATGAAGGAAAATTATATTGTTCTGGAGCAATTACAGCTATGAAGACCTGTTCTAAGAAGCTCAGTTTTATTACTTTCTAAGACTATGTGTAGAGGACAAGAAAGTGTTCTTGAATAAAACCACCTCCTGTGCAAATCTCTCAACTTTTATCCTTTTTTTTTCTTTTGCCTACCAAGAAACTTTCTCCAGGCTTTTGAAGCGAAGGAGTTGTTCTGGCCTCCTCTTGTGCTTTAGAATAATGACTTCTTGCCAGCTGAAACTGCGCCATGGACACTTAGGTTCACAGATTAGGAGAAAACCTTTCTGGAAGGACAGTTAGGCACTGCAGTAGGTTTTCTAGAAAAAACTGAGAGTGGTTGCGTTGGCTTGGAAGCAGATGAATTCTCATATGAGGGGTATTGTGGGGCATAGCTAAGTGAACCTATCTGATAAGCATCAATGCATGTATAAGACATGATCTTGTTTACAGGTATTGGTGCTTTCACTCTGGCATTTTTCAGATTGTTTCCTGAAATACCCCCAAGACATCAGATTCAGAAATCCCTGTTGGTGAGGCCAATCCCATGATTCTGTCTGCAGCACTGGCAACTAAGAACGAGCATTCCTGGTCAAGAAAACCCATATGTAAGGCCTATTCCTCAGATGTACCTTAGCATGGAGGCTACTTGCCAAGAGCATGTACGTTCCTCCAGTACGTGACCTTAAAAAACCCAAGTTGATCTGTACACACTGTGCATATGGCTGGGGAGAGCTCTCAGGAGTCTCTTGTGAGTTTTAGGAAACAGTCCCAAAGAACTGAATCTCCTTTTACAGCTGCATCATTCTTTTAACATACACTTTAGCACAGGCTGCACAGTTCTCTGAGATGCTGGGCTGGATGAGTCATGCTGAACTAACCTGAAACCCACTGAATCCAGATGACATCATATCTTTGTGGGGCTGGAGTGAATTCCTGGAGGCTTTTGCAATAATACATCTCTACTCTGTCCTCCTTGCCCTGCAGGTAGTTCGGGACCTCAGCCAGGAAATTCTCCATCATATCCACCAGTTCCACACTCTTGAAAACTGGTAACAGGACATGTTTGCTGATACGACCTATTCCAGAGCCACAGTCCAGGGCGCGGTTGGTGCCAGCTTTCCCCACCCCCTGTGGGATACAAGAAAATCAATTGAAATCTGAAAAATACCACCTGAAAGATCATAGCAACTATGTTAACTGCTATGGCCTTCAGTACACCAAGCCTAGTGTCTTGTTTCCTTATTTGTGCAGCGCTTTTGCAAGACTGGTAAGAACCTAGGACAGTATCAATAGAGCTTTCAGTACCTATGTTTGAGTCGAGCTGGGCTGCTATGTATCCCAGGCTGCTGTTGACGGGACTTCCTCATTACAGCCATACATTTATTACTGTACAATAAGTTTTTGCTTGGTATATGAAAAGATATAATCTTTCACAAGCTCCTATCTTTCTCAGAAGATCCACTGGTATTCGTAAAATCCTTGCAACTTCATCTATCACATACTCACACCTGTCCTGGGTTCAGCTACAGCAGTCATTTTTTTCTCCTTCTTAGTAGCTGGTGCAGTGCTGTTTTTTGACTTTCAGCTGATAACACCGATGTTTTTAGTTGTTGCTCAGTAATGTTTACTCCGACCAAGGACTTTCTCAGTCTCATGCTCTGCCAGGGAGGAGGGGAAGCCAGGAGGAAGCAGAGACAGGACACCTGACCCAAACTGGCCAAAGGGGTATTCCATACCACAGCACATCATGCCTGGGCTGCAAATGGCTGCGTTGTTCTGAGTTACTGTCTGGGCTTAAACCACACCACCACCTCTCAGCTAACTACATGGCCAGATAAGCCTCATTTTGAGCCTTGTAAATGCCTAACAAAAAAGTAAGCATATACCAAATACTGCATTCAAGAAGAAACTTCTGCAGCAAAGAACCCCTGAGGTGCCCATGGACATCACTGCAGATACACAGCATCCTTGTGACCAGAGTGCAGTTTTCAAAATAAGCTATGTTTGAATGAAGAAGTTGGAGTTGTAGGTAAGTTATGACAACTTGAAGAGTTTGGACGGGAGCACGTACAGAATTTCTTTTTTAGGCATAGAGACAAGAAAGATTATTGAGTAAATTTTGCATAACTGTTCTTTTTTTCTTCATAAATATCATCTCTGGACAGAGATCAGACATGAAAAAATGTGGCACAAAGGCTATGTCTATGAAAAAATAATGAGTCACTGTAAAAAGAGCTTTATAATGACAGCTGTATTTCACCCCTAAGGCTTCCATTCTAGCTATAAAAAGTCTCTTAAGATCCTGCTGCTGTTCTGTAAAACAGAAATTTTAAGTCTGTACATGCACTGACTATGGGATTGGAGCTCCTCTGGCCAAAGTTATCTGTTAAACAAATATATTAAAAGCAAATGTAAACACCTTTTGCCTGTCCCATGGAACTGAGTGTTGAAGTGAAAGCTATGGGCCAAAGTCTCTGCTGCAACTTCACTGCTCTTAAAGGAAACAAGCAGGTAGAGTCTTGCTCTTCCTGTTTACTGGGAGACCTCCTCTGTAATGACCAAGCATAAATCACATAACTCACCACATTTTCTGGCCTTGCTTCACTGGATAATTCAGTAGATTATTAAGGTCAAAGGACAGTTCCATCAATGACATGACTATGAATAGCCTGGCTGAGCATCTGGTTACACAGAGTTAACTGCAGAAAGAGCACGAGGACCTCAAAGGCTCTCACCAGCCTCTAGGGCTGCTGGTCACAATTTGTATACCTAGGAAGATTAATCTCCTGATGTGTGCAAGAATCCAGAAGCTCTCAACCCTACTGGACTCTGGACACTACCTGTTTGTAGTTAGCCAGAAAACGTGAGCCATTCTTCATTCATAGTCTGCAACTAGGAGCATGTGGCTTTTACTGATGACCAGTAAGTTACTAAGCTGTAACCAGGATTTCACGAAAGGAGAAGGAACTGTGTTTGGATCATTATGAGGTGGATTTCCATACTGTTTGCTGGCAGATACATACAGGCCTACACTGATGTGGTTAAGTAAAAATCTTTGAGAAAGCTGGTGAGAAGACCGAGATGATTTATCAGAACAACAGAATCCAACAAAAAGCCATAGAACTTCTTTGACATTTCTGTTTCAGAGAACCTATAGTCACAGTACCTCACTCAAAACAGGGAATTCATCTCCCATAGTGTGTCATGGCAAGGACCTATGATAACACATCTCCATTTGCCATGGAGAAGAAGGAAAGGGAACAAGCATGAGAGATGAAGCTTGATTCCACACTTTGCTGAAAGGGAGCAAGAGGATCAGGCAGTCAGTTGAGAAGCCCTGTGAAGCACCACAGCTCTGTTTGTAATGAAAATGTTGACATAAGTCCACATTCAGCTAATATATTCTCAGTTTGGAAGTGCTCAGAGCTTTGAAAGGGTATTAACATTTTCTTTGGAAGGCAATCATTTTCCCAAAAGCCTAATTGAGTTGAAAATCGGACTCCTTATTTAAAAAAACAATGTAAGTGAAAATTTTAAGCCAGAACAGGCTTCAGAATTTAACATTGACTGCTCCTCTGATTACCTGCTTCCCATTACTCAGAATCACTAGCATTTACGACACATACACACCCAAAAATTCTTCTGTAATGCTAAATAGGGCACTCACAAATTTCTTTAGGGATAAGAGAGCTATGGAATATGTTTCTGAAGCTACTTCAAGTCTTGGAAGGGCAGGAAGGCAGTGTAGATATGTAGGATAAAAAATAAATCAGAGTTCAACAAATCAATAAAAATCACAGTGGTTTTCTTTCTATTAAAAAAATTTTAAAAATCTGGTTTTCAAAAACATGTTTTCCATGTCCCTGATCAAACAGAAGAAAAATCACTCTCAAGAAGCTTTTCATTCAGCAAGTAACCAATCAGGCAGGAGAACTGAGGGCAGAAAGGTAAAAAGGGTTTAGGGCAGAAAGGGAGCTGCAAAGTTAATATAATCTGTATTATTTCACATGCCTATAGCTTACAACTGTTCCTGAATTAATAGTTTCTTTGTTTTCTTTATTTCCTTTTTTATACATTACCTCTGGATTAGGCACTTGAAAACACACTGTCAATGTGGATATCAAGGCTTTAACTGGAATGAATACACTGCCATAAATACTCAATGCTATAGCTCTGTTGATAACCCTTCAAGTATGACTGTACCTAAGACAGCCTATAGCTTGTCTGTACAGCACTGTTGGCTCAAGTAATGTTGGTCTTGGTTTGAGTTCTGCCCACACACACATAAAACCTCTTAACTTGAGCACAGTGGCACTTTTAACTCAATTTGACTTGCCTGGGAAGGAGACAGGCTAAAATATAAGTGAAGTCCTTAGTCCTCTCTGTAATTCCTTCCATGTGCCTAGGCAATATAAATTCTCCAATGGTAAAGAAATCTGTAGCTCAATTTACAGTGGTGCTAAGAATCATGCTAAGAAATTCCACACCTGAAAGTATGCAACATCAGTCATGTAAGGGAAATGTCACTGTGTGGCATTTCCATACCAGGCAGACTAATTCAAGAGAGGTAATTTGAATGAAACTGGGCAACTGTTTTTTAAGGAGCACTAATTTTGCCAGAAAATCAAGTTTTGGAAGAATAAAACTCTCTGCAAAATTGGTATTTCAAATCTAGAGAAGAGTTACAGCCAAAACACATGGGAAAGAATGTTGAAAATGTCAAGATATTTCTATTTCACAACTTTCAAGGAAAAAAACCCTAACTTGTCAACTTTTCATTTCTAAACAGCATTTTTCACTTTGGAACTGACTTGAACTCTTGAAAACAAAGAGGGAAGTTTCTCATAGGGGAAAACAATTAAAAATTAAATTAAATATGTTCAGTTGATCTGAAACTTATTTATCTATTTCCTGATTTTGTCAAACATTTTAAGAAGAAAGTATAGTTTATATACTATAGGTGAAGCAAACTGCTTTTTTCTACCTTGATCACCTTATTGAAAAAAAAAAAATAATTCATGGAGCCATAAACTTGGGAAGACATAACTCAAATTAGCTTTACAATAAAGTCACTACTACAGAAAGCCAGCAAGTATCTGTGTCTGATTGAGTAGGATTCAAACTGCAGGAGTAAGAAAGGAAAATAAACCATAAATAACATAACCAATTGACTGTATCTCAACAGAGTACAGACTTTAACAGACTAAATCAGAATCAGCAAAACATGCAGATTCCTTTCTTGGTTTTGATTTTTCTTGTTTGATCTTGGACATTCAGAGTATCCTTTCTATCCCTAGCTAATAATAGGAGTAGGAACTCTGCTCTGGAGTATTCTGTATCTGTCATCACACCTGATGCATTGGGTACAACTTCTCTTTGGCATGTGACACTGTGCTACAGACTGTACTTCTTTCCTTTTTGGGTCTTGGACATGAGAAAATGCAGCAGTGTGGTATAAACCTTCTGCTCAGGAAACGGCATCTGTATGATGCCTAGGAAGTGTAAAATGCTTCCCTGAGTACAATCTTATGCACCATCTGAATTCCACAAAATGTCCTTAAAACAAGACTTAAGTAATATTTAAGGAATATACCTTGAGCTGGCTCAAGGCTTAAAAGTAGCATTTTACTTTTTTGGAAAATGCCATTTTACCATCAGTTTCAGCTGCCTTGCTGAACTTCATTTGTATTTTCTTATTTTGTGTTTGTAAAAAGCCTGGTACAGTCAGGCTTTAAAATGTTTTGAAGCCTTTTTGCATTGGCATTAATACAAATGACTGTAAATGAAAAAATGTAGCTGTTCACTCGTGTTTTGCTGGCTCGCTACCCCAAAAGCCTCCCTGTATCAGGTACAGCAAACTTTGCCATCAGTTGCTCTTCACTGCTATACAGGATTTCTATCTGTTGGTAAGCCACACTCATTTTCCATCTCAATCCATTTAAACTGTGCCCTTTTTTATACACAACATCTAATTAAGCTATTGAAGTTTTTTTCCATAGTGGATCATTAAGACTAAAAAAAGGTCATCTGGCTATCCAAAATTTGTACATTTGAGCAGAAAATGAAAGATTTATAGTAGCATTATACAAAACTAGTAATTTTGTGAACAGGAGAGCTTAAGAAATTTATTTTCCTTTGGCTTTGTGGATTCTTTAACATCTCATACTGTTGTGGAGCTAATTTAATAGGCTAATTTAATAGGCTTTTTCCCTGGGAAGAGGCAAGACCAGTCAGAAAACCATCAGGTCACACCTGTAAAGATTTGCAGATTCCCCAAGACATCAACAGGATTTTCAGAAACCTAAGTGCCAAAGTGCTGTTGCTGTTGTAGGTGATTTTAAAATCCTGCTTAGAATCATAGAATAGTTAGGGTTGGGAAGGACCTTAAGATCATCTGGTTCCAACCCCCTGCCATGAGCAGGGACACCACACACTAAACTATGTCGCCCAAGGCTCTGTCCAGCCTGGCCTTGAACACAGCCAGGGTTGGAGCATTCACAACTTCCTTGGGCAACCTATTCCAGTGCCTCACCACCCTCAAAAATGCCATGCTTGGCATTTCTCTAGATCTCAGGTCAAAGCAGACCTTTGAAGATGTTTACAGACCCTTAGAAATCTGTTTGCAAAGGTCCCCAGTGACACTGGAACACGGAAGAAAAGAATATTTTTCCTAATGGGTAGCTTATTCTATATACTGCTCATGTTTGGGGGCGGGGAGAAGAGGCACCTTGGAGCTGGGTTTTGTTGCAGTTTTCTCAGAAATATCTATAAATAGGCAAAACAGAAACTTGGCATTTAGTCTCAGCTACTTTCCCAAATGGACTGCAGGAATTTGCACAGACAAATCTCCCACTGAAGCCAGTAAGGATTTTATTATGAAAGGTCCCAGTCCTGCACTGAGAATTAATCTCCCACCCAAACACAGTTAAAAGAACTTGCCCAATCCTCTTTGCAGCCTTGGAGTCTAAGAAAAGGATGCAAAACAGGTAAATAATGCCATAAGGCTAGGCAAAATGTATATTCCTGATGATGCATGAGCTGGCAGAACACATTACTTGAGCCAGTGACAGTCAGTAACATAACCTGTGACTGCATATCAAATATGACATATGGTGCCATTAAAAATATAAGTGATAGGGCACAGTGCATGTCATTTATAACACATCACTGTTGTTTCTTGCAGAAGATGAGATTAAATGACTCACCCCAACAAACTTCCTGAGAAACTCCCTGGAGGATTCAATGTCTGTATTGGAGAGTTCAATGTAGTCTCCCATCATGCCCTCTTCTGTGGCTGGCACCTCCTGGTAGAAGTGTTTGGCCCTGGCGTAGAACTGCATCTCCCCATTGATAACTTGACTTGTCAAAGCATAAAGTTTCACTGCAAGCAGATAAATCACCGTATTATTGTTAATGACAGACATTTCTGGTTTAGTTTATTGCTCTGGAGACACAACAGTAAAGATCTATAAACTTAAATTGAGCCTTCAAACCACCAAACCTCTGTTTCTAAAGCAAAGGTGGAAGGAAAGGTGTTGGATTTAATCCTTCAAGACTGTGAAGAGACACAGTCCTCCTTGGGCAAATTCAGTGCCTCCCAGGCTCAGACATCATTTTTGTCATCACACTATCTTTCATGTCAGTGAAAAATCATCTCAAGTTTGAAGTGAAAATGCATGCTTAAGAGAACAAGGGGCTTGATTTGCTCCCAGAAAAGCTGTGGGTGGCATTTATTGCTCTACAGGGTCACCATTTCCACTATCACAAACCTAATTGTTGCACAGATTTCCATATATGATTTCTAGTCATTGACAGCTGCACAGAGAGCACACCAAGAGAGTGGATGAATGAGGCACTCCCTCTGTTTTATTTTTAGTGATACTGTACAGTCTGTGGCACTGCAAGTAAGCTGAACCAAGAAGCAGATGGCAGTCTCAGGCCTAAATGTGTACTAACGTGGGGAGACCATTTAGAAGAGACAGTACTAAATTTTCATCTGATGGATCAAGGAGCAAGATAATCAGTGGGTGATACACCAGGAAGTTCCTGTGTGCCAGAGCCTGGTTGTTTCTTCTCATTGCTTGTCTGTTTTGCTGCTATTATATAGCAATCAGAAGTGAAGGTTTATTAAAGTGAAGGTTTACTAAAACCTGTGAGCTTTGCTAGGTAAAGGATTATTATATATTACTCTTTAAAAAACTGATGTCTGTCCTCCACATCCTGGGTTTTTCTATATCCATGTGCATCAGCATATCAAAAGCAGTTAGTTTTGCAGCTTAAAAGTCTGGATTGAGACAGCCCATAAACAGTTTTCTGAAACCAGCTCCTTTGATTATCCCATGCACATGCAAGTGTCCAGGCATTTTCCTGTGTGTATGACAGACCTTCCAACAAAAACACAACTACAGGCTTGCTTGTGAAAGCTAAGCAATAAGGAGGGATGAAGTCACACTGGGAACAAGTCCTTGCAAGCACCACCTTGCAGTGTGAGACCAGCTCTGCTGCAGATTCCCTGTGTGTTCAAAGAACTCAAAATGATCCAGCAGCAAACACCTTTTGGGTTAATAACAATAAAAAGGGAGAGCTTCCTATTGGCTGCGTACATAGAAGGACTGGGGAGCAGTACTTTGTCACTGCACCTTTTAACTTTTCACGGGAGCACTGCCAGTCGCTGCTGGGAACAGGCCATGCCTTGCTTACAATGGCTGGGGACAGGAATTATGCCCTCCACACAGAGGAAGAGAGCTAGGCCAGAGACCCTGAATATAAACCTGGAATGTATTTATTGAGGGCAAGCAAGCTCAGCAGGGAATGATAAGTGTGTGCCTGCCCATCCTCAGCAGGAGGATGACATTTTGGAGGCAAACAAAGGGGGGACAAAGGAAGTAGGATGGGGAATAATTACCACCAAGGACCACTCAGAACAGAATAGTGCTATTGGGTTACACATAAGCAGCATGCCTGGCATATCCTTCCTCCAACAAAAGCAGCATTACCAGCCCCTCTTGTCATCACCTGCTTAAGTCAACTGCTGAATGGATACTATTAAAGCTTTAATCCATTACACATTTATGTTATGCCTGAGAAATTTATACCACAAGAAGCACTGAGCCCAGCAAGGGTCAAACCTGGGAGTTTTACACACTCCACTGATTATATTCACACACTTAGAATAAACCATTTAGTTGGAGAAATTAATGCAAAGGGGGCAGCAGCCAATCCCCAGCACAACTTGGCCAGGGTGGCTCCCAGAGCCTGGGAAAAATCTCTATCAGTGGCTGTGATTCTTCCAGTAAACGATCTCCATCTTCCCTCCCTGGGAATGGCACCATCTTGTTTTCTCGGTGTCTCTTTATTCTCCGATTCAGATGCCAGCCTGTCTGGTGAACAGAACTGAATCGCTGCATGTTAGCTTTGCTAGCTCTTCCATGTAAGAGTCCAGTGATTATTTCTAAGCCTTGTTTAATGGACCAATCAAGGGACAGTGATTTATCCTGTTTTGCTAGATTGAAGGGAGAGGCATTTACAGGCTGTCTGCAGGCAGCTGGCAGCATGAACAACAAATATTCAGAGTCCTTCTACTGAGGCAACACATGGGGACGATATGCTATTCAGGATATCAGATGTCTAGTGTGTGCTCTCATATTTCTCACTCAGAACTAGTATCAGGGTTGCAGAATGCCTGCCGGGACTTGCGTGCATACAGCAGCTGACTGCAGCTCCTTCTGGGCCTGCTGGGGCCCCAGAGCTCTGCCTTACGTGCTGGCATCCAAAACCAGCTCTGGGCTTAGCATCCAGAGGGTCTTCTCTATGTATCGATCTTTGCCAAGATCTTTTTATGCAAGTCTCCCACCTGAGGGCATGCAAGGACACATGCTAATAATGTAAAGGGTAGCAACGTACCCAACATCTTCTCCTGTGGACCCACAGTCTCACTCATGCAGTGTGTTATCATATAATCATAGAATAGTTAGGGTTGGAGATGATTTCCACCTCTTGCTTCCTCAGGGTTACTCCTCCCTCTAATGAATTTGCAACACTGCCAACCCTCCCAGTGCACAACCCAATTTTCCAGATACAGCCAGTCAGCCTCAACTCTGATGTGCCTTGCAGCTGTGCCTGACTGCCTCCAGCAGCAGGACCAGAGGGAGAGGGAGGTTTCCCAGCTTACAGGAATCTACCCTAAAAGAGAAGTGTAAGGAGGCACATGTCCTTGGTGGCAGTTAGTGTTGCAGCTCTGCTCCATCATACCTCCCTCTCATCACAGGACCTGTCTGGTCTGAGGCATCTCCCTTTCCATGACCCATGTGGGACTACCTCTTGCATCAGGAAATGAAATACCTGTGGATACACAGTCTGATTTCAATGAACTTTGTAAAGTAGGGCATAGGCGGGATAGGATGATGGAAGCTGCAAGTCTTTCAGACATTGCAAGGGGCAGCTGTCTTTCACCGACAAAGTTTTCAGTATTAAGGCAGGTAACTTGTAAGATTTAAGGTTAGAAATGTGTTTCTAGTAAAGTAAGAAGAAACTTTTTTCATGGTACACTTGGTCTCAGCTGATCTGCTGGCAAGTCCCCCAAGTGGAGATGGTTAAAATAAATCCACTGCAAAAGCAGGCTCGGAACAGGAACTGGCTCCCTAAAGGTCACTCCACAGTCATGAGACATTGATTTTCAGTCTCTGCCAACACAGTCAGGGTGCAGAATGGTGATCTATAGTCGAATGCCAACCCCTGGACTAGACAGAGAGTATCTACCTAAGACCTTTTGCCCTGCAAAGTCCAAAATGTTATCTCCAGTATTTTCTAATGGACCAGTTCAAAACTTTGTTTCCCAGTGCATCTGGTCTAAAACTTTAGAGAAACAGACCACTTACTACATGAGGCTGGGTGCAATCCCAACCTGCAGTAAATTGTCTTACAGTTCTTGGTTATGGGGTTTACTCAGCTAAATTTCCCTGGCAGAAGTAAATGCTGCAAGTAATTTTTTTGAAGTTTTTATTTGTTAACATTATTTTGTGGCTCCAACTGCTCTCTGCAGGATACTGAACTAATTCCAGTCTTGATGAGTATTCCCTTTTACATGCAACATCTGCTTTGTGCATCAGTCGAAAAATAGTTATCTGGGTGCAGGGCAGAATTCACCTCTCTACTGCAGTCCAAGAACCATTTAAATTCTGTTTTATAGAGAATGAACATCAGCCAAGCCCCAAAGCAGATATCATTTAAAGACACGTGCCTCACACATGGGAATATTTGTCTCTATGGACCAATCATTTAAGTTTTCCACCACAAATCTCACCCCACTGGCACCTAGTCCCACAGCCTATGTAAACATGTGCATAATTTCCAGAATCTGAGTAGCTCCATTAAAGTCCACTGGGCCAAGGGGCATTCGCAAACATTTAAGTACATTATTGGATCAGTGCCTAAAGTTACTCACGTCTTTTATTTATAAATGTTACCCTGGTCTGTAAAAGTGACATGTTTCTCTTAACAAGCTATGATACCAGATACACTCAGCTCATAAGTAAACATGCCCAATAGTGCTCCACCACTGAACCTAGCAATGGAGTGGGGGAAGCATGGAGTTAGCATCGCTTGAAGCAAGCTTTCTACCTTGCTGACCCTGGACAGCACTGCAAGTTTCAATATGAGGCTTGATTTCAGTGTTCTTATTCACATTCAGGGTTAAGCACACCCTACCCGACTAGGTCACAGTCTTACTATTGCTTTGGTTTAATGCTGTTTACAAAGAGATATCTGGATGTAGTCCTGAAGCTTGAGAAGTTCAGTTCGTTTCTGAGAAGTTCAGTTCCACTCTGAACTGAGCTGGTAAATGCCATTCTGCAGAGACGTTCAGACCTGCCACATTCTGTCCTCTCATTCAGAGGAAGTACTGGTTCACAGTACAATCCAGGTTGGAAGGGACCTAAGGAGGACTGTAGCTCAAATTTATGCTCCTCAAAGCAGAGACAGACATGAGGTCAGAGGAAGTTCATCATGACTTTACTCAGCTAGGTTTTGAAAACCTCCAGTGATGGAGAATTGCACAACCTCCCTGGGCAACTGTTCCAATGCCTGACCATCCTCATGGGGAAAGAGAGTTGAACTTTGTTTCCATTTATGGCCACTGTCTCTTGTCCTCCTGCCTCACGCCACTGTGCAGAGCTCAGCTTCATCTTCTTCACTATCTTCTTGTAGGTATTGGCAGGCTGATACTTGGTCTCCCTGAAGCTGTCTCTTCTGGCTGAACATGCCCCATTCCATTAGTCTCTCTTCACAGGGCAACTGCTCCAGTTCCCTCACCACCCTGGAGGTCATCCAAGTCACTCTGTGTCATTTCCTGCATTGGGAGTTCAATTGTCCATGCATATGATCTAATGACTGTTGCATAAAAGGGGATCATCACTACCTTTGATCAACTAGCTATGCTTTTGTTAATACAGCCGCCTTTGCTGCCAGGACACAGTGCTGGTTCATGTTCAGTTGCTATCTACCAAAACCCTATTAGCAGGGCTGCTCCCTGGCCAGCCACTGCCCTGTTCATGTTCTTGTTGCCAGAGGTTCTTCCCCTCCAGGTATAGGACTTGGCATTTATCTTTGAATTTCACTAGGTTCCCACTGTCTCTTTCCTCCAGCCTGTTTAGGTTCCTCTGGATGGCAATCTTGACCTAGAACTTGCAGACAAGTCCTGCCAGTTGGCTGCAATCTGCCAATGTGATGAGCAAGCAGTCCTTCACCTCCTCTTTATCTTATTGATAAAGGTGTTAAACAAGGATAGGTCCCAGGACAGACTCTTGCAGTAGTCCTCTTACCTCAAGATTTGACCATGACTTTCTGAGCCTGATCGTCCAACGACATTTTAACCATCTGATTGTCCGCCCATCCAGACCACTATGTCCTAGCATGCTGTGAAATTTCTTGCATGTGTATTCACAGTGTGCAAGCTACCCCACAGTACCTGTCCTTATGAACACTTTGACTTCATGACAATAAGCATGGAGTAACAGACATGCTGTATGTTCACATGAAGGCTGGACTTACAGTACCTTTTCCATGGAGTCAAACTAATTTGGATAAGCTGGCAGCAAGCTTGGAAGCTCTTCAGCTAAGTTTTAATGATTTGGGTCATAATGAGCCTGGCAGGGGGGGATCTTTAATCTGATAGGACCATTTCACAATGTTTGTTGGCTGGGAATGGAAATTCAATTAAAATTCGGACTAGAAAAATAATATAGTTTTACAAGAATAAAGCAATTAGGCCTGGAAACAGCTTAATGATGGACTGATGGATTCTCAGTCATTTGCAGTCCTTAAACCAAGGTATTTTTGCCTTCATAAATATATATATAGTGACGCAGTCATACGTTACAAGCATGATGCAGGAATTTTTACATGAAATTCTAAGCTAGATGTTCATAGTGGTACCTTCTAGCCTTAAAATACTTACAACAACAGTTAACACTGTAAGAAATCCTGCTCAGTTTCTAATATGTTGTGTTTATTTTCAAAACAAATGAAAGAATAACATTTTCACAGACTTCTTGAGATTCCATCAACCTATAATTGACTTTCCTTCCTTTCCATCTTTCCTTCCTTTCCATCGTTCACAGCTACCTACCACTAGGGATAGGAATATTTATCTTCCATGTTTCATTTTAAATAGCTGCAGATATTGATTCATTTGAAAAACCACATCAAAATACAAAGATAACACAGAAATGTTTTTTCTCTTTACAGAACTCATGAATTCTACCTTCTTGAGCATAGTTCTCAGTAGGGTCTGTGTAACTTCAAACAATAAGATAAAATAATCCACTCACCTAAATGGATCATTCAAATAGGAACGAGGCCTCAAGAATTCACTGCGAAGAATAGCTTAACAGGTTTCACTGGCACATCCTTTCCATTTTAAATTCCTATAGTTCTAATACTGAGTGTAGGCTGAACAATTCTGCTTAAAATGTGACCTGCTAATGTAATACAGACTCAAGTCAAATCTGCATTTTAGCTATACTGTCCTGGGGAAATTTTGTTTCTTATTCAGGATTAAATTTTCGTCAGAAATGAACATTCATTTTCTGCATTTAAAAAAAATTGTCTTGGCATCCTCGACCAGAGGCTTTCACTGGAATTCAGCTATAAACAAACATTTCGGAAGCATTTTCCTCCCAGTAAACAAATAGGAGGTTAGACAGCCTGCTGCAGAGATAAGGATTACAATGACACCTGAAAAAAAATTAAATCATTACCTTTCAAGCACTTGTCCAAAACAATGCAAATGACAGGGCTAAGCACACACCGAATGACAACAGAATGGGTTATCAGGCAAGAGAAAGTAAGGCCTGTCAGCTCTGCTAGTTTTGCATTTGTCCTTCCAAGTTCCAAGCAGGTCAATGAATATTTTACTTAAATGGTGGGAAAAAAAGGAACCATCAGCTAGAAACTGAACTTTATTTCACTCCTGTGGTCTTTCCTTTGCCCTCCTCTAACAATTTGTGGAGTATTTAGGTAAAACAACAGGGTACTGAATGAGATGGAGCTGAGAGAGACTACTGAATGGTTTAGCTAGCACTGTAGTATCCTAGCCAGGCTTCTCAAAACTACTACTTAATGTCATCAATGTGTCTGCAGTCTACCATCTAACATTATACGTCTTTCTGGAGCACAGCCACACATGCACGCAGACGCTCCTACACACCAGCTACTCACCCAGAGGAAGCTTTTCCAGCAGATAAAGGTAACTCTGAAAGAAGTCATTTTGGATTGCCTTATGCAAGACAAAGGACATACTGTGCCGACAGAGTTCTTCATCTGTCTTGTGCCAGCGCGACTTAAAAGCCAAATGTGCTGCTTTATACGCCATGATGATGAAGTTTTTTGCAAGGGTGGACAGTTTCTGTGGCTGGTGCTCTCTGGAGGACCTGTCCTTCCGAAGAGCAGAGGCAGTGTTGTTTAAATTGTGGCAGTGTGCTGTCATTCTATATCAGGGTGTGTGTCCAGAGCAGTGCAGGGGGTGGAGGCGGGCAAGAGGGGAGTGAGAAATGCTGGCTGTTGGCACTGGCTCAGAGTAATCTCTGGAGTGTCGCCCTCTGAAACGAGCAGGTGCTGATTGTGATAAAAAACTCAAGCAGGAAATTGCTTAGCTGGGGTAAAAGTATATCTATTCCAAGAAAGTGGCTTTAATTCAATTACGCTTTTCCTAATCTATTTAGCCTTCACTTCAAAGGAACTCTGATACTATCCAGGATCTCCCATCTCCCTCTTTTATATCTCACAGCATGATTTAGTTTCTCTCTCTCTCCCTCGCTATTTGTTTTTCAGTCTGGGGCACTCGAGAGGAAGGCCAGAAGACAGAACATGGATATGCCTCTAAATACACACTACTGTGTGTGCTAATAAGCTGTGATTATAGAAAGCAAAGAGAAAGCAACAGATTCAGCTTCATGCTTTGCCACTGTGTATGGCCAGGGCATGCCACTCTCTATACATTCTATACTCTCTTCATTTAATCTGTTTAAATGGTCATCTCATCAGCAGAGGCTAACTTGAAGAAATTACTGTCTGGGAACACAGCAGTGGTAAAGCCAGAGAAGGGTAAGAGCTTTTTGCTTTAGCTAACAAAATATAAAGAAGAACAAGGCGGCTCAGACCACTACATTGAAGGGGGCTCTATATCCTAAGTATGTCCCATCCCTGAGAAGGATCAGGCCCTCAAGGGACAAGGAAAGACAGGTACTGCTTCAAAACCTTGTCTGCCTCTTGGTAGTTCAGGCACTCGGTGTGGTTCAGCTTCAAGCCTCCCGAGTTGCAAAGGTACCCGGCAAGGCGATGGAGGCTTTGTACTGATTGCACTGACCTCCACACATTGTGCACATGAGGGTTCCCCTTTACAAGCTGTTTATTCCAGCTGTCTGCATTGTAAGCACACTATAACACAGCAACACACAATCAGAAAGTTGGATGTTTCCAATACAAAAGGGCTGCCATATGTCCTGAGCAGTACTGAAACTCCCAATAACCATCTCATTAAGATTCGGAGAGCAGAGCAAAGATGACTAGCCTGCACCAAGGAAAACCACTAGTACTTCAGCTACAGATGATGCTAAGCAGCATTTTGCAACGCATCAGTTAAACCATATTTTCCAATATGACTCGCTTCCTTGAAGCAGTCTATCTCTGTATCTCTACTTTGATATTACTTATTAAAAGTACTCAGGGGAAAAAACATTCCTGGGTATTACTGCCTTTCTTATTTCCCCAGCTACCATCCTGTACTACTCATTCTCACCTAACTGCACTGGCACGCTGTTTCCACAGCGGTTCCATTCAATATGAATGTGCTGGTGAACAGATCTGTGAATAAATCTTACTCAGAAAAATATACTTTTCTTTCACGTTGGATCGGTTCCCCAGTCCAGCCCACAGCTGACTTAAGGGAATTTTTCATGTGCTACAGTACGTGGGCTGGAACAGCCTCCTGGGATGGCAGTTTGGAGGAGGTAGCCATACAGTCACAATACACAGTGGCCTTACCAGTAATGCAGACCTCCTCCCTGTCTCCCGTCAGAAAGGTATGCTACAGTGGTTTCCATGAGAGCCAAAAGTAATCTAAATACTAGAAGATACGTTTCTATGCTTCCACCCCTTCCTGCTCATGCATTCCCACTGTTGGGATCTCTGCAGAGCTATTTCAGCTTGATCCGTTAGTTGGCTTTTTCTGTCTGGCCAGCACTGTGAACCAGTTCAGTGCAGAGCTTAACAATTGCCAGAGAAGTGCAAGAAAGGAGGCAGAAATGTGCAGTTGAGGATGGATTGGGGAGAGTGGGATCATGGCAGTGATCAGCTCTACTGCCAAAGTTTGAGCCCTTCCTTCAACAGAGGGCAATGTTTTTCATGCAACCTTAGACACTTCAGCCATCCCCTGAAATAACTCAGTTTCAAATTTCTTCCTGGTTTATCAGAGAAACACCAGGCTCTCTCCAACTAATTTTGCAATATCTGGGCCCATATACAATCCTGGTGTATGTCTTGGTTTTCTCACAAAACTGGCCCTTTCTCTTTGTTTATCTATTTTCAGACACTTGCCAATTAGTGTGCACGATGCGTCAAGGCAGCATGTTAATGCTTTGGAAAGACGTTGCACAAGCTCACTTTGTCACCGACAAAAGATACCCCTAGGAACTCAGAGCCCACCTGTTCTGCATTTGACACCGTGTTTCACATTTGTCTTGGCTGTAGTTTTGGCAATGCCCATTGTATAGCAAAGTGACCTCTGCTTAGAGATAGCAGTGACTCCAAGCATGAAACCTAAGCCCTGATGTGTCCTAGTGGAGTCAAACGTTGGGACAGCACTGTGGAGGGTGCTGGGATCACAGCTCCAGGGCTCCCTGTGGCTTTGACGCTTGTGAGGTCCTCAAGGGCTGGGCTTTTATGTTCACTGGGAGGATGTAAAGTGCAAAGGCAGAAAAGGGCACTGTTTCTCCAGCCTTCTGTGCACAAAGTGGAGCTTAACTCTCTTTGAAGTTGCGCATTTGGGTTCCCTAATGCTCACCAAACGCCCTGGTGACTGTGACTTCAGTGAATCTCTCTCAATTTATATCCTCTGAGAATCTGGTCAATTACAATGAATACATACACATGGGAAGCAGAGGATATTTCAGAGTCAGTCCCTATCATTTTAATGCCCTGCTAGTTATCTCATAACATACTCCTAGCCCACTTTCCTTAGGAAAAAAGCTATATGCAATCATTTTGTGTATGTCTCCGTCTATGACTTTTGTGTATGTCTCTGTCTATGACAGGTCTCATCCTGGTGTCACCCAGCAGAGTGAGTTTTGCTCCTCTGAGACACCATAAAACCCATAAGGATGGACAGGCATAAGTACATCTGCACCTGTCTTTCCAAGGTACCATTCTCAACCATCTAACACAAATGTGTCAGAAACAACAGTCCACAGGATTAGTTTTTTAGGCCCTCTGATAAATCAGTGGTGGTTTTGACCCACAGTAGTCCTGCCCCACAAAAAAAGGGAGAAGATCTACAGAAAGTGTCATAAACAATTCTATTTATTGCATTTGCACATGATCAAGACTATGTTCCTCTTCCAAACATCTCTATAACCTAAAAGTTAGCACAAACACACACTCAGGCCTCAGATACTAGTGCTATGTAGGTGAATAATAACAGCATCAAGCCATTTAAATTACTTTCAAAGCACTTCCTATTGCTGTCAAAGATTAGGCAGAAACGTAGATTTGTGCCCAAAGGTGCCTGGAAAAGTCCACAGAAATACCATTTGGTTTTGTTTGATTGCATGTTTTTCCCAAAAAGTGGATGGTATATTCTCTGCCTATTTGTTAACAGCAGCGTCTTAATGTCTTCTGCTAAGAACAACTCACAACTGCTTCACATTGTCTCCTAACCCCATATTCTGAATAGGAGTAGTAGTAGTCTACCCAGAAGCTGCAAACAATTCAAGCACTATTACTTACCCTCCATCTCCATTAAAAAGGAGTATGGGGCTTGAGTATGGGCAAAATGGCACCCATACTACTTGCAGGATTATTGCTGAAATATGAGTAAACCAACTCTCAAATCTAGTTTCTTTTCCCATATGGCCATCTGACTTTTTTGGAAGTTGAAGACAGCTAGCCATCTTTTTTGTTGCTAGTAGGGACATTGGAGAATCTGGACCTCTGGGTAAACTGAAGCCCTACACTAAAATTACAGGAGACACAGGCATTGCCTTGAAAAGCTTCTGGTCTAAAGCAAGAATTAGTTTGCATTTATATTGGTAATCAAGTAGTTCGCATTCTTCCTCGTGAAATCAGCCAGTTCTAGGACATCACATTTAGCACAGATAAAATGAAGGATCAGCCTGAGTGGCTTCTTGTTAAAACACCTGCAGCTGATCTTCACTTGAAAGTAGCAGGTTTAAAATAAGGTATTAGATGGCTTATGAGTCACTGCATGATCCAAGGTAGATCTATTGGAACATTAGGGTATTTAAAAAGAAGTTTGGATTACTTTTATAATAGTAGGTAACTACCACTGCACATCTAAGCTGCACACACTACTTCTGAAACACATCAGCCGCACAGAAAGGAAAAACATATGCACTAGCTCTATGTATCAAGCAGGTTACAAAGGGCCAATTTTGCCTCTAAATTACTGTGTTCTGCTTGGAAAACACCTGGTATGCAATCTAAATTCCACACGGAAAAGCCATCAGGATTGCTGTAAGATGTCTCTTTATCTTAAAAAGGCTTCTATATTAATTCTTCTCCCTCACACTCATGCCTGGCATATGCTGTCAGGAGTAGATGTGGTTAAAGCAAGAATTTTTTATCTTTGACAACAAGTTTTTAAAAGTTCCTGAGAACCACAGGGTCAAGTTGACAGAAAAGGCACAGGCTGAGAGCACACGTGCAGTTATGAGGGCAGTGAAGAAAAGCTGCAGGTTGGATGGCAGGTGGTAACCTTTACAATTGACTTTGCTGCAGCCAGAAAAGCAACTGCCTGTATTGTTGTGACTGCAGCTTCAGTGGCTTGTTCGGAGCAACAGTGTATGCCAATATCTGGGTGTCAAGCTGGGAAACAGTAATATGACAATGGATGTACTAATTGTCTGACTTGTTGAAGTCCAGAACTCTTAATCACACTCCTTGCCCACCTAAACTCTGCTCATGGGTCCAATTAGACTCAGCAGTCTTCAGAAGTATTATTGTGGAAATAATTTGGTTTTGAGTTGAGTACAGAATTGAGAAAAACCAGTGTTTTGGGTTGATGAGAAACTGAAATATTTCTCTTTTCTCACCCAAAAACTATTTTTTGTGTTAGGCCAAACAAAAGGTTTGGTTTTGTCTGCAGGGCTATTTCCCTTCTTCCACTTCTTTATTTGTTTATTTGTAACTAAACTTAGGTAAATTTGG